ACCTAGCTCTGGTCTTATTACAAATTTATTAACTGTAAACACATAGCGAGTGTTACACCAGCTCCACTGAAGAACATCTGGAGGTCATAAAGCCAGATGTACTGATGGACAGCCTGATAACTGCTGGATCCAGGAATGAAGTTTGGAAGGTCAACTCGGAGAGGCTGGAGTGGGCAGGTAGGACGACAGCCAGGCCAGCATTGAACTCCTCTAACAGTGGTTGCAGCAACATGAGGCTGGAAAACTTGTTGATTATTTATATTATGGGACATAAATCAGTTTTCAGAGCTGGAACATGGTATTAAATCATCCTACCTGAACATCTTCAGCTTTGTTCTTTTACTGAAAATCAGTCAGGGTGAAACATTTTCTACACCATTCAACATTTCATCAGCGGCTGTTGTTCTGCTGGACTCGTACTGCAGTCGATAAACTTCTGTTTACCGACTGATTTTACAGTGAACTCCAATATGGTTTTTCTTTATTCTTCCATGGAAAACAAAATCCATCTTCTTTCATTGTCTCCTGTTCATATCTGTCCTGGGACTGTTTATTGTCAGGGTGAATATTTCATGGCCTTCTCCTCTCCTTCCCAGGTTGTTCGCTGCTGCTCAACTTCCACATGAATAAAGCTCAGACAACAACAGCTGTTTTCCTCAGCAGGTAAATCCATAACTTGCCTTGGAAGGCCTAAAAAGTTTGGATGGACAGGAGGTGTGGGAATCCCGACAGCCTGTTTTAACTGAAGGTGTAACAGTCAGAGGACCTACAGAGAGCGCTTTATGAATTCACCATTCATCGGGATGAAGGTAGTCCTGCCTGGAACCAGAAAAAATGGTTATGGTTACGATGAAATTTGAGTTTTATCAAACTATCAAATACATTTAGCAATGCCTAATAGTTGACTTCTATTAACAAAAAGGCGAGTTCTAAAAATAACTAATATAAAAATGTTTCTTTGAACAACAAAGATTTGGTTGAAATAGAAACTGATTTTTAACCAAAACACAAACACCTGTAATTTGTGAATCTGTATTTATTTGCTTATGATAACTAGAAAGGGAGAGTTTAATAGGTTAATGGGAAAACTGGCACTAAATTACATCTTTACATCTCATAAAGTCAAACCGATTCATCAGTAGAAAAATTAGACCATTCTTCTCATTTCACTAATTACACTCTGATTAAAGCATGAAGCTGCCTTGAAACAACATTAGTTCTGCACTTCCTGTTCAAATTATGACCCAGTCCTATTAACCCCAAAGCATTGTGATTTGTAAAAACTCATAATTACTTAAGAAATTTTATATCTTTATTATATTTTTCATCTAGAAAACATCTGCAGGTGAAAAGAAATGTTTATATGCTGTTCTGCACAATTTATCTGTTGAAAGAAACAATGATTAGATTGTGATCTGGTGTTTACTGTATTAGCTAGAGCTAATACAATTAGCAGGAGCTAATGCTAAATCAAAACAAATTGAGAAATAGGTAATGGATGTTTAAAGTGGCATTGAAGTATCTTTAAGTCTTCCCAGCACACTGTTCTAATATATTTGAGAAAAAGTTTTGATCCGGATGCTTACCGTAAACAGCTTGAGTTAAAAACTGGAACGTTTTGCTGCATACAGTCAGGTTAGCATTTCCAAGGCCCAGAAGGATAAATAGATTTTTCGACCAAATCTTCCTCTCCATTGATTATTTCCTCTTTTCGTTTCTTCATTCCTTCATATTTCAACACGCTTCAGTTTAAATTGACACAACTGAACGTTACTTATTGCGCAAAAGTTACTGTTCTGGCTGGTTTGAGCTATAGCTGTTAGCACCTAGCATCCGCCACACGAACGTCGCCATGTTGTTGCATTGCAGCGTAAACAACATGGTGACTTCCGTGTAGCAGTTTTTTTATTTATCTAAACTAAACAGCCTTACTGTGTTTTTATCGAATTGTTTTTACATCTGAATTACTTTTTTGTTATAATTAATTGTGTGTTCCTTTGGCAAACTTAAGAGTTCAATTAAATGTTCACAGTCTCCTGTGGCCCTCTGAATGTCTGCTGTGGCATCTGGGTCAGCTGAAGATGAACATCCAGCCGATGATTAACTGGGTGGAAATCTGGAGCCTTTGTCAACAACTTACTGTTAGTGTCCAAAGTTTCAGTTATTTCTGGTTCAACACCTGAATCTAATGACGATTAACTAGCAGGTTTCCTGTCAGTGGTCATAATTCACATCCAAATCTTTTCAGTATGTTAGATGGAACAGGCCTTAATTCACTCAAATATGTTAGTGTCTTTTCTGGCCACCAGCAGAAGAGCCAACACAAATAAGCAAAAATGCTTTATTTTTAACCAGTCAGGAAACAGATGTTAAAACTGTGAGAGGCAGATGGGTCCGCAGTCTGACCTCGGTGACATCCCTGAACCTGAAGAAATCTGTTGGTTCATCCCCGGCCACCAGGATGCAGCCGACCGGCTAAAGTCTCAGCTTGACTCTCATCCAAGCAGCTTAGAGCCGTAATTAAATCATTAAATTCTTGTCTACGCTTCACAGAGCCGAGCCAAATTGACTTTCGCCAACCTCATTTTCGATTTGAACACCAAATAATGATTTTCTGCCAGTCTAATTACAAAGCTCAACATCTGATCAGGCTGGCATCCGGCCGGGAATTATCACAGGGGCCCGGCATTAGACCTCATTACCAGGCCGAGTGCAGAATTATTACATCTTGTAATTGGACGGGGACATTTATCAGCAGGGTTGGCATGCTCTGCAATAACATGCTCCGTTGAGCGGCGTTCAGTCGGTAGAAAACAAAGAGGATCTGGAAGTTTATTTGGTTTTAACCAGCAGTAGACAAGGAGGAGCAAACATCGGCTGCAGGAACTCTGGGAGGCTGCCGGGTTTTCTCTGCTCTTAGTTTATAAAGAGTTTAACCCAAAACAGCTAAATCAGCTCAATCAGAGTCCTTTTAATCCATGATATTAAGGATTAAAGGGCACTGAGCAAAATAAAGTGCAACATTTCTGGCTTGTCATCATATGGACCTTCTCAGATATTTGTCGTTTTTCTCAGATATTTGTCGTTTTGACTGGATTTTTTTCCTCTTCTTCATTCTCAGCTCACTCTTTCTTTTGCTACCATTTCCCCAAATGGCACCGATCCGTCTTATTAAAGCAGATAAATTTTATTCCACTAGACGACGAGGAAGTTAATGAAGACATTTGTGAGGGTGAAAGAAAGGCGTTGATACATGTTTTTTAACAAGTTTTTATTCAAACTTGGCATAGTCACTTGAAATATTGCCTTATAATTGTCTAATTCTTTATTTTCAAACTGATGTGTACAATGGGTTATGTAAAAATTTTCTGTGGAGCTTAATGAGGGTAATAACATTTAAGTATTTAAAATAATAAAGTTGAAACAGAGAGTGAAAGTTGCAACTAAATGTAAAATTAAGATTTTAAAATAAAAAAATCTGCATTGCATTTAGGTTCCATATCTTTCTAGTTGAGAATTAATCACTACATGTACAGAAGCTGCACACTGTTCTCTGGTGACTAATAAAACCCAGCAGGAAGGAAGTCAAACATGGAGGTCCAATGCTTCGTAGGACGCTGACTGGTGCACCGCCCCGAACTCCAGGTGGAGCTGTCCTTGACTGCGAGAACGAGAAAGATGCAGTGATGGAAGAGCAAAGCGCTGCGTACGGCGACCGGGGCAAAACATCCTGCCTGCAAACATGGCCGACAGACAACTTCAGAATCACACGGGTATCACAGAAACAACACAACACACTAACACAACACACCAAGCATCATTTCAATAACACACCAACTGGGCCAGTGACTTCCCATCCATCCAAAAAGTAAAGAGGTAAAAATAAATCAAAATATTTCTTCAGACAAGGCAACTAAAAAGTGAATTTTCATATACATTTTTGGATCAAAAGTAAATTCAACTCAACACTAAAACATACATTTTGCTTAGCGGTTAGCATCATTCGCTCACTTGTGTGAGGATCTGCTGTGCTGAAGATGTCTGTGCTGCCGCTCCAGTACTGAACCGCTGTCTTCCCATGGTAATCTCTGATGTTCGTTTTAGCATCTGGTGAAGAGAAAAATACACATCAAAGTGTCTGATTATGCAGATTTTTATTTACACTGTTGATTTTGTTTTTAGACTTTTAGATCTCTTATCCTCCATTTGTCCACTTTACTCAGATTTTTTGGCCAGTGAACAAGGATTGGAAAGCAAACAGATGAAGCAGTAAGAGGTTACATGGAAGTCTGGCTGACATGAAAATAAGTTAGGACTGAATTAGGAGTTTAGCACAAAATAACCTGTATTTATTCCTGCTTTTATAGAGGAGCTGGAAACAGCGGGATGCTCTGTTTGGATTAGTGTAGTGACGTAGCGATCCTAAAGTCCATCTTCATGTCACTGCCTTACCTGCAGACAGACTTGTGGGGTCATAAAAGCTGAAACCAATCAAATAATGAAGCCTGCAGCTGACCTTCATTAACAAACGGTTAGCCTGCCTGAGGAACCACTTTAAACCTCTTCAACCTCCACAAACAGGCTCAGAGAAAAGCTCAGAGACCACAGACATGGGGAGTAATTAGAGATAAAACACGAAGCTGAGGAGGTCAACACCTTCCTCTGACTGAGGAGAGACAGCAGCTTCTCAGGAAGAATAACACAGCATCAACATCCAAGTTCACTCCAGCAGAGCCACGCCTGCTGGTCCGCTTATCTGAAGCACCAAACTTCCAGGAAACTTCAAACTGGAAATAAACAGAGTGTGTCTGTGAATAGACTCAAGAGCGAGCACCAGGTCAGTTTTAAAGGTGACCAATTATGCTTCCTGGAACAGGTTAAGACGGATCTATGGGCCATACAAACATTTTCATTACATTTTCCGCACAAAATCATCATTCTTCAATAACCAGATTTTAGTCTGATCCTTTCATATTGAGCTGTTTTAAAGACTCTTGTCACTTTAAATGCAAATGAGTTCCACGCCCCCCAACTCAATGTTTACACTCGCACGTGAAAATGGCTGCAAACAGATTTGCAATTACACAATCGTACATCTTTGAAAAGCAGAAGTGGAGCCTCCAGCACAACCAACAAGAGTTCAGCAATTGATTTCTGAATGGAGAGTGAACAACAAAACACTTGTTTTTTCCAGCAGCCATTGTATATAGGATACAGTGTTAAAACCAGCTGGAGGTTGCTAGGTAACGGGCTTGGCTTCATTAGGGTTGCTACGGTGCCTGCTGATTTGTGACGTTACATTCTGAAGGGTTTTGAAACGGCTCATTTTCCAGACACTAAAAAACATGAACTTATTGACAAAAAAACGGCTTTGTGAGTTTTTTTTAAGTGCTTGGGTTGTTTTTTAGAAGCATCAGAGACCCAAATGGAAGCATAAAAAAAGAGTACAAAATCTGAATTTTACATAATAGATCTCTTTGAAGACTAAAGCTAAGGTATAATGAATGAAAACATACCAAAGCTGGATGATGATTAAGAAAGTCAAACCTACTGACATCATTGAGATGCTGTGGGGTGACTTGAAACTGGCTGTGAAAGCAAGAAACCCTGAAACATCTCACAGCTGAAAGTGAGGAGTTCCTTCTAACTTTTTAGCGGTGGGTGTAATTTTCCTGAAATAAAACAGAAACTGCTGGAGTGGAGAGTTTAGTTTCCCTCAGCTGGAGTTTAAAGATCCTGTTTCATGTAAAGTGTGTTTAAGCGACGCACGTCCTTCTCTCTGCTGCGGAGAGCAGCTTGGATTTCTCTAAAGTCGCAGCAGAAACTGTGTTTAACGCTGGTGGGAGGACGAGTGTGGGAGTTAAAGTGTCGGTAATGACGAGGGTCGGTTACCGTTGGTAACCATTAGCCGCTCCGCTCAGCCTCCAGCCTCCTCAGGTGGGACATCAACACGAGCCGCATGCATCTTGGTTTTACTTCACAAAACTCTCAAAGTTAAACAGATCCGCCTACAGCTGAGGTGGAAACACGACAAAATAAGTCAACAATCAGAGATTTACAGTCAAGACTGAGAAGCTGGTTTTCCATCTGAATACAGTATCAATAAACTGTGTGTCCAAAAATATTCCTGTGACCAGGTATCCAAGAGACTTTGTGAACAATAGACTAGGATTTATTGGCATTTTAAAACTTAATTTGACTTGATGATTCCATTGGCTTCGTTTTCATTATTGTAAAGCACTGAATGTGTTAAAGGCGAAAATTAACATTTTGCATATTTTCATACTTCAATTTGGGTTTCTATTGCTTCTAAAAGCAAGCAGCCCAAATGCTTAAAAAAACCAGCTGCCACTTTCTGGCAAAAAAGATAATGTTTAGTGCTTGTTGTAAAACCAGCAGAGCTCTAGCACGTTTGGTCAGCCGGTTTTACCGCAGTATAATGGCTGCTGGAAAAGACAAATGTTTTGTTGACTTGCCATCCACAAACCACTTACTGCATTCTTGTTGATTATGCAAGAGGCTCTACTAATGCTTTTCAAAGATGTATGGTTGCATAACTCCATATCTGTTAGCAACCATTTTCACCTGTGAGTGTAAACGTTCAGTTGGGGCGGGGGCGCGGTCAGCAGCTGCTTTTTTAGATTTAAAGTGACAAGACGCCCCAAAACATCTCAAAATAGAATCTCATCTAAGAACGATTTTGATTTTGATTATTTTTTTTCAAGGTCAGGATACATCTGTTCAAGGAAGGCTAATAGAGCACCTTTAGATTGCATACAGATGGTCTCACTTATTCCTCGATTTCCTATTGATTCTGCTGGAGCAAAGCGTCTGAAACCACGACACTTCTACCTCTAGCTTTCACAGCTGGCATTCGGTTCTTCCAACATGCTACATTTGGTTTGGTTGAACATGTGTTCCTCTCTTCTGATGTCCAGATATTTAAATTTTGGACCAATCTATCCACATAAATCCACGTGTATCCCGGGGTTGTGTCGTAAATGGTCCAGGTCCGTCATGGAGGCAGCTGGAGACCGGAGCATGGAGGAATGGAGATGCAGGAGGTTCGACTGTCAATCTGAGCTCTTTGTTGGCAGCAGTGCTTTGCATCAGTGCTTTCTTCAGGCCGGTGAGTCTGTGAGGCGTAAAGATGAAGAATCCCTCGCTGACTGATGCTCGCTGTCTGAATATCAATTCGAAATGTGCATATAAAGAAAACCTGCCTGGAAAACAGACTGACAGCAGAGAAAAAAATATTCTCCTGACGTTGCGATTGTTTCTTAAAATGTATCTGAATGTCTAGTCTGCAGAAGCAGCACAAGTGGAGCAGAAAATATCAATTTTCCCATCCAAAGGGCCTTTTCAGGTTAAAACTGAGTTAAACTTGGATAAATAAAACAAAATGTGTTTCTTTTGGGTGTGACTCACTGTATGTGCTGATGAGGGTCTGAACCACCTCCTGATGTCCGTGAATGGAGGCGACATGAAGAGCGGTATAACCCTGAAAACAATGACAAAGACAAGCTCCCAACTTCTTCTACTTACATCAAGAATTACAAAACCATACTAAAAAAAATATTTTCAATTGAATAAAAACTGTACCAAGTAAAATAAATCACTCTTCCTTTACTGCAGGATAAAATAAATCTGTTGCACAAAGCTCCATATTTGCGGCAGTAATAGAAATATAACTTTCAAATGTAGTTATTAATATGCAAACTAGACGATTCCTGCACAAAAAGTACCTGCAGACTCTGGAAAACATTTTGTTAACCAAGCCAGGATTTTCACCTCAGTTCATGGCCTTAAACGGTGCAGAAGTAAGCAGAAAACTGCCTGAAGGAAGATGATTCTCATGTAAGTTTTATATCATTTCCATTCAGGGACAAACACGCCGGTTAACCTTTTCCTGCAGAAGTGGAAGTTAAATTAACGAAAATACATCTTAATATTCTTCTAATGAATTAGGGAGAGAAAAATGTCAGCAAATACTGGAAATGATTTCATAAAGGGCTGAAACGATGAATCGGATTAATCGATGAATGAAATAATCACTAATACTAATTTAGTATTTGATTAATTAATTGGAGTGGACAGATTCAAAAAAGGCCATTTGCTGAAAAAACATAATTTTGAGAGAAGTAATTAAGCCAAAACTATAAAAAATATATATAAACATTTTGCACTGAAGATAAAGAAATATATAAATAAATCTGCTGAAGTGGCATAATTTTAGCGTCACCTCGTTCAAATTCTTTAAGAAATTATCCAATGAAGCAGATTTTGTTACCCAATTATAAACTGGTTATCCCAAAAAAATAAATCACCAGATCAGCTCTACTCTGTATTGATGTGAAGTCAAGCAGAAACAGCTGAGCTTTACATGCTACAATTTTCTTAGCAGAACTGCAGAAACACAAAATGAAAATACATCTTAATATTATTCCAATGAATTAGGGAAAAGTATTTGTTGTCTAGTTTCTAGTGTGAATATCTTAGTACACTTGAAATAAAACTAAACTATATTACAAGTAACTTTTTAGCAAGAAATATGAGCTTGTTTTAAGACAATAAATCTCGAATATTAAGAAATATACAAAATATTAGTTCTACTGGTAGATTGTTTCACTTATGGGAAAATATCTGCCAGTAGGACTAATAGTTTTTTTTTTACTAATATTAAGAAATTGACAAAACAACTCCTATATCTTGCAGAAAAGTTACTTGTAAGATAGTTTTGTATTATTTTAAGTGAACTAAGATATTTACACTAGAAACTAGACAGAAAATACTTGGTAAAATATTGTTTTTGCACAATTGTTTGAATGTTTGTCTTACTTTAAAAATGAATTATTTTGTTTTCAGGATGTGCCAAATTTTTAAAATCCGATTAATTGTATATTTGACAGATTTATTGATAACTAAAATAATCGTTTTTTCCAATCCTACCTGCAAAGACATGCAAAATAAAGAAACTAAATAAATGGACAGCAGTAATCTGATTGGCTGATTAGTTTATTTGTTCTCAACCTTTCAGCACTACTAAACCAATCAGATTTAAATAAAGTATGAATAAACCAATATATTTAAATAAAGTGTAAACAACTGGAAGTTATTTTACTCTGCAGGATTCAGATTTGATCACTTCCTGTTCTTTGTGTCCATTTGTTTCCTTCACCGCTGTCAGAAACTCGTCGTCTCAGAGCCGGTATCGTGTTAAACGTGAGTCGTTTGTAGTTTTTGACGACCTGCTGCTCATCACCCGGAGCTGCTGTCAGCAGCAGAGACGAGCAGACGCTCTCCTCGCTGTCAGAAAGCCGTTTAAACCCGACTCTGGTGACAGAAGACTCAAAGCAGAGGTGGAAGTCTGCGTTCATTAGGAAGACGAGTCTGTAGATTACACGGTAAACTCTCATCACAGCCTTGGCCCTGGAGGACGTTTGATGTGGAAACACAAAGACTCCTCCTCACAGTCACACTCTTCCTGCTGTCCCAGCAGCAGCGAGACAACCAGCCGACTCCGGATCAGAGGAAACAGAGTCATTTTCGCCTTTTAAAACACGGATTTTGTTTTTCCGGACGAACAGCTGCTACAGAAGGCCGACTGTTAGCTGCCACTTTCAAGGGTCTGGATGTCAAAGGAAGACAGGCAGCATGAAGACGTAAATATCTGACATTTTCCTCAAACGCTGAGCAGCTTTCATGTTTTCAGACGCTCTTTGAGTCTAATATCAGCTCTAAAGGCCACAGCAGCAGGGGGTTCTGGGAGACACATCAAGGCCAGACAGCGATCCGAAAAGAAAACATCCACCTGGAGCACAAACCGGTCTGATCTGTGCTCCATTCAACAACAGCAAATCTCTGATTTTTTGCAAAAACAATCAGAAATTTGTTGGATTCTGCAGCAGATCATCAGTAGAGCTGAGAGGCTGGCCTGGCCATTGCCCTCCAGTTGATTCTCATCTCCCATCTCTGGGATTTCTCCCATTGAGTTGGATTTCTCCAGTTGAATTTGAATCGGCAAAAAGAAGAAGTTGTGAATGATGATGTTGATTTTCTGTTTTAAAATAGTAGTTTCAGTAACAGCAGCAGAGGAAGTGAACAAAGCCATTCAGTCTGTGTTGGATGAAAATCCCATGAGAACAATATTTTAAACAATGTGGCAGAGATATTTGTTTTTCTGAAGAACTTTGTTGATCAAGAGAAGAAGGCCAATACTGATCTAAAGAAACTAAATTCAACTGCAGAAAGAACAGACAAGAATAATCTAAGAAAAAAAACAAAGGAATGGACTAATATGGCAACACCTTTTAAACAATAATGGATTCAGGTGAAAAACTAAATATGGCTAACCTAAATAGTAATAATGAACCCAAGAAAGAATCAGAAAAGAAACAATAAAGAGAACGAAAGTACAAATACTAGCAGATCACGAGACTTTGTTTGAGGCTTTTAAGTAAAACAAATTTGGTGAATTTGTTGAGTAAAAATCAGCTTCAGACTTCAGCTGCACAAAATGTCAGTAGCTGCGTCTCCATTATAAATTTGCCCAAAAAATGTAAAAACCCCCCACAATTTTTCAAATGCGATGCTTCCATTAAATAAAAAACGCACATGAAAAAGTTTGTTCAGGTGATAAGTCATTAAAAAACATGGTGCGCCATCATCATCCGACCACTTCCTATCGTCCTCTTCGTCGTTTCCACCAGTAGCAACATCCAATAGTTGATCACATGACTCATGTGATGCAAAAAGCGTTTCCATTGCAGTTTTGTCAAATAGAGTAATTTTGATAAAGCAAAAAAAAAAAAAAAACAAACAAACAAAAAAACACTTTATCCTTATTGAAAAACGAGTTGAAATTGAAGTGTTTCCATTGAATAAATTAATTTCCATAATTCCAGTTTTCACTGTTATACGATCAATAGAAACGCAGCTACTGATTTGCATTCCAAATACCCACGTCTATTTATTGTGTTAAATTCAAATGAACAGTCTCTACCTGCTGACAGCTAAAACACAAATTTATTTTTTATAAGTGTAAGGAGACACTGGAGGATGACTCACCCCCTTCAGCGAGGAGCGGAGAGAAACGGAGAATCAGAAAACATCAGAAAATGTTTTATCTCTGATCATTTAAAATATGTTTCATTATCAACACGGATCTGAGATTTAAGAAAAGAAAAAGATCAGAAACTCACATGCTGTCGGATCAGCGAAGAGGAGAAAGAAAAGATCATTGAAATAAAAAATATAAAACTTTCATTTACTTCCATCCATCCATCCGTCCATTTATCTATTAATCCATCCATCCATCATTTATTGTTAATTCTTCCCAGTAATGAATCAAATTTCAGAGCTTTTCTTCATTATTTTAAATTAAATCCGTTAGTTTTTCCAGATTTGTTTTCTTTTTTTCCCCACATTCAGGCGACTCTTCAGGCAGATACAGACCAGGAAAATCCATCCTGTTGAAACCCTCCAGTGAATCCCAAACGTTTTTCTCGACTTCTTGCTGTTTTATGGATTATTGATTTTTGATTTATCTGTGACTCCAACAGAGGCCATTTCTATCAGAGCCATTACGGCCTTAACGATCAGAGACAGAAAGTTAATTATGTAGTTATGGAGCCAATAAGTGACTTGTCTGCTATGGTTTAATCTGCTGGCCGAAAACATTATCTCCTATAGGCACATCTTCATCAGCAGAGGAAGAGGAGCGGAGGAGGAAGAGGAGTGAGATCCAGCAAATCCTGTATTAAATCCATCCATCCATCCATCCCACCTGTTCACACACCCTCACCGATCGGACGTTGACGTCGGCTCCAGAGTGAATCATCATGTCCACGGCCTCCTGACGGCCTTGCTTTGCTGCCCAGTGGAGTGCCGTCTGTAACACAACCACACACACCTGAACGACAGCTAAAACACACACGTAAAACACAACCACACACACCTGAACGACAGCTAAAACACATACCTGAAACACAACCACACACACCTGAACGACAGCTAAAACACACACCTGAAACACAACCACACGCACCTGAACAACAGCTAAAACACACACGTGTAACACTATACGTCTGACAGACATACAGAGAGTAAAATGGCAGCATAATTGGTGAATCTGTTCTTAAGTTAAACTGAGTAGAAACACAAATTAAGAAGCTGCTAATGGCCTCCAGGACAGCAGGGGGCGCCCAGCAGCAGAAGTTGGGTCTACAGATTCACAATCAAGAAGGCAGTATCACCTAAAAAACAAAATGTCATCCTGTTTGACAAGTTTAATCCTCTCTTTTACCACTATTTGAATTCTCTAGAAAGTCCCTCCGTTTTTTATGATTCCACAATTGTTGAAATTCACGCAAAAATCAACAGATTCCTAAATTCTCCATGAAAGAAGGGTAAAATTATTCTGCACCCTGTAGAAAATTTTTATAAAAAAAAACTTGCAGCATTCAGGTAGGTGTAGGTGCTCCAGTTCTGACCTCCATAATGTAATTTTAGAAGAACCTTACAAATATTTCTGAAGTAGCATCACAAAATCAGTGATTTTGATTGAAAAGAAAAAAAAACAAACAAGGAAAAAATCCTGGAGGGATTGCCAATAAGATTGATCTGCACAATCTATTATTATTGCCAAGCAGTGAATGTTGGCTCTTGAAAGGCACATCAAGGTAAAAATGGAGGTCAGAACTGGAGCAGAAATCATAACACCTACATGAATGCTGCAATAAGTTTAATTTTTGTCATTATAAACACCGTGGTAAATAACACACAGTCTGGTCTCACCACAGAGAGCTTTTAAATCACTGAGTTAGATGTCGGGTGGATAGGTCTCCTGACAGTCTTCACTGGTAAAATTGTTACTTCATTTAACCAAATTCAAGTTGTACACTTTGATTGCAATTAGCTTCACTTTCATGTGTTCAGCTGATTTCTCTCTTTTTTTAACCTTATAAAATAATTTAGTCAAGAAGGTAAATATAATTAAAGTGAGCTACGAGATTAAACAGAATAGAATGAAGAAAGAATAAAAAATTAGAATATATGCCCTTCAAAATAAAACTACAGATACTGCTTTGAGAACGATAAACCGCAGATGTGTAGCTTCTTATGATAGTTAAAGCAATTAAGTCAATCAAATAAAATGGTTTTAATTGCGCTAACAGTTCCTAAAATGATTTTTAAATCAATAAACCAGTAAATAAACTGCCTGAAAGATGTAGATTAGTTTACGTAATCCTCAGATCTTCATGGGAATATTCGTTTCTGCGCTGCAGGAATGTTGCTTTTCTCTCCCCGCTGCATTCGGCTTTGAACCGATCTTCTCCGTTAAGACGTTTTCCAGCTTCAGCCTTTGTGTCAGACAGACAGAGAATCGCGGCTCGTTCAATAAAGTCCCGCTTTGAAGTGAATTCATGGTTAATTAGTTTAAACAGCTTTGGCTACGAGCTGCAGACAGACAAACTGCTTTGCAGTAATGTGAGCTTTAATTCAGCCTAGTGGGATTTAATTCTCGACTAAAGAGCCACATTCAAGGACGGTTATCCCATCACCATTGTGCTGAATGGAAATGTGTTGCTAATCGTGTTTGTTAATGTCCCCTAATCAATCTGTGTGAGCACGACTGTGAAGGACACAAAGAAATCACCTACATCTGAAACACATTTAGAAAGAAGGAAACAACTTTTAGAATCTGTGAGACGAGCGGAAAGGAGCAGAAAATGATAAAAATAGTCGGTCCGAAAGCTTTTCTTGTGTCAGCAGAAGCACTGAAAGATCTACTGTGCATTTCAAGCTCAGGCAAACTTCCAGAGGAATAACTGAAACTGCAAGATGGCTGCAATAAACGGAGAAATTAAGCTAATTTAATGTCCCATACGAAGGCGAAAGAACAAAAACGTTTGAAACAAGGTTTATAAAACAGAAGTTTCTGATTGCTGATCTGTCAACTAATTTTCCCTTCATCAGCACTGATTAGTTAATAAACCTGAAAACTGCTGCGTGTTTTGGTAAACATCAACAAAGAACATGCAGTATTCTTTTAATTTCCTAAAAATCCACATACATTTTTTTTAAAACACACTTCAAAGCAGAAATTAGGATGTAATTAATTTGTGTTTTTTGGATTCTGGTCAACTTTTACCAAATGAACTGCACAGTTTTGTTATACTAAATATACTTACATTTAATTACAAAGTAAAATAAAACTGACACAAATGAGAAACCACAAACTCCTTTATAATAAAACTGTACTTTTAATTAAAATGCTAAATGCTAAGTTATTGTTTTCTGCTCAGTACATCCAGAAGGTAGAAAACTCAAGATAAATGGATTTTTGTTGTTAAGATGTCAGGAAAGTTCAGGATTAAACTTGTTGATAGTTTTTAATGATGTTCTATTAAATTTAAATCCCAACAATTTCTACAAACTAAATCCACAACATGACGCAAAGTAACAGGAGAAAAAAACAAATTCCTAATCTTAAACTTACAAACTGGATGAATCCAAAGGAAAGTAGGAAAAAAAAACAGTTTAACTATAAATTTATTCTTGACAGAAGTTTAATCAAACCAAACCTTCTGTTTGGCAAGTTTCTTTGGCAAATTAAATGGTTAGTTAGCAAGCTAAATTTTAATTAACACACTAAATATTAATCTCCAAACTAAATGTTTAGTTAGCAAGCTAAATATTTCGTTTGAAGTTGAATATTTAGTTAACAACTGAAATGTTTAGCTTGCAAACTAAACATTCGCCTCCATAATAAATATTTAGCTTATAAACTAAATGTTCAGTTTGAATTAACTAAACAAATATTCATTTGTTTAGTTAATTCAACTAAATTTTTAGTTAGCTAGCTAAATATTTAGTTTCAAACTGAATATTCAGTGCTGAACTAAATATTTAGTGAATAACTTAAATATTTAGCTCCAAACTACAAAAAATATTTAATTCTGAGCTATCTAAATATTTAGTTAGTTCTAACTAAATAAAGCTAACTAAATATTTAGCTCCAAACTAATTAAGTATTTAGTTTGGAGCTAAATATGTATATCCAAACTAAGCATTTAACTCAGAGCTAGCTATATATTTAGTTAGCTTTAAAGTTGCTAAATATGTAGATTAGGCTACATATTTAGCTAGCTAGCTCTGAGCTAGCTAGCTAAATATTTAGCTCCAAACTAAATATTTAGCTCTGAGCTAGCTAAATATTTAGTTTGGAGCCTAAATATTTAATCCTTACCTATCCAGTGTTTTCAGGATAAATCACAAAGAGTTTATTTCCTGGAAAATCCAAAACCCTTTATTCCTAATTTAATTACAATCTCTGACAGTTTGTTACTTCCTTCTGTTCATGTTGCTGCAGCGAATCAAACAATCCAAACACTGTAGTCTGCTGATATTTTTAGCCATTTATTTCCTCTGTGCTGATGTTCTGCTAAAATGGGTGCACCTGCGGTTGTCTGCAGGAAGGTTAATTGAGGTTTGTTTTGTTCTGTGATGGCGGCCCCGACGCAGAGCGACTGCTGAGGCTGGACAGGCCAGGCGGGGCAGCGGGTGGAGATTTCATTAGCAGGTGCTAACCGAACCCGGCATCACACGCTGGGCTAGTCTGTGTCTCCACCTGAGACCCAAACACGAAACCCTCTACGCACCTAAATCACAACTGCACAGGCTATCTTCCCTTAAAGTGGGCATTTCTGTTTGCTGTAATTGTTACCGATGGCGACATGTTAGGCTGATAAACCTCCTGATTCAGCAAGTTTTCCTTCCAAACAACCAGACGTATTTTGGTTCAGTTCTATGGGTTTTGTGGTTTTTACACACAGCAGTCACTGCAAAAACACAAAATCTTATCAAGTATTTTTGGTTTAGTTTCTGGTGCATTTAAAGTAAAAAAATAAAGTAAATTTATAAGTAACTTTCAGCAAGAAATAGGAGATTGTTTTAAGTAAATAATTCCCTAATATTGATGAAAAATACCATTTCATTTGGAAGATCTTTTCACTTACATAATGTCTATCCAACATTTTCTTTACTATATCTTTGCCTTCCTAAAACAATGGCTTAAGTCATATTTTGCCAAAAGGCATTGTAAGTGAAACATCTGCTTATAAAACTAGAACTTTTTCATCAATATTAAGGAATTATTGACTAAAATATGCTCCCAAATTGTGCTGAAAAGTTACACTGCAAAAACACAAATTATTTTAAATCTAGTTTCTAGTGGTAATATCTTAGTACACTTGAAATAAGGCAAATTTATCTTACAATTAACTTTTCAGCAAGAATTAAGAGCTTCTTTTGACACTATTTTTTTTAATATTAATAAAAAAAGTACAAATTCAGCTGGCAGATTATTTCACTTTTAACAAGACATTTTCCTGTTATAAGCAAAATAATCTGCCAGTAGAAGTAGTATTTTGTATATTTTTTATATTCAAATAACAATAGAAAAGTTTTCAGAAAGATATGGGAGCTTGTTTTAGTCAATAATTCCTTAATATTGATGAAAAAGTTCAGAGTTCAACTGTCAGATTATCTCAGTTTTCTGGTTATAAATGAAACAATCAGCTAGTGGAACTTGAACTTTTTCATCAACATTAAGGAATTATTGACTAAAACAAGCTCCTGTATCTTGCTGAAAACTAATAAGTGTACTAAGGTATTGCCACTAGAAACTAGACAAAAAAATGAAGATACTTGGCAAGATTGTGTTTTTGCAGTGCATTACATGGATTTTTTAACAGTAATTCACGTCAGATCCATCAGTCAGTTGGAGCTTTTGCATAAAAGGTAAAGACGCTCTGTGCCAAACGTTCACATGTTTGTGAAACATGACAGACACCCATCAGACTCGGCAGGAGGTCCGGCCCACCATCAGCCTCTCTGAGGAGGAAGGACTGCTGGCGGTGACCCGGCACAAGCTGCCAACTGCCTGCCAGCAGCAGCATCTGTTGGATCCAGAGTGACGGGCAGGATGAAGCGCAGCAGGAAGGAGACCATCAAAAAGGAGAAAATTTCACTCCCTCCGTCTTGATCCAGCCAGGCGTGAAAAGGAGCCTAATGCTCTCAAGTGGTGCGAGGATTACGCCACCGATGCTGTAATTTCTGCTCCAGAGCATCAAAATGCTCCTCCGTGTGAGCCATCACTTCCTGACTGGGCGTGGCCTTGTTTCGTCTTAATTAGGGCTCGGCAATACGACTTAAGAATAAAACCTCGGATTTTGAAGGAGCAGTGTTATGTAAAATCGATTTTATTGAGCTTTACATCATCTTATCATGTTATTCCCTCATTAAAATCATACCTGGAGTGTTGCCTTAATTCTTTCCTTCATGTTTGAGAAACCCTTTAATCTCCATGACAACCAAAATGCCTGGGTGGGCCTAGCCCCGCCTTCATGGACGAAGCTCCACCTCAGAGCTGAACTTTCTACACTGAAAAAAAGAGAATGGAGCTCCAACTTTAAAAAAAAAAAAAGATAATTTGTTACATGTTATTGAATTAAGACGTATTAAACTTTATATATTTATTTTGATAAACTTGATTTGATAACTAGTAACAAATTAACTCAATATTTTAAAGTTTTTTCTTGTTTCGATGTAAGCGTCTGCCTCACAGAGCCCTATCCCCAGTGATTCCCCCTCTCCGCTCCTTCAGACTAGCTAGCAGCAATTAGCAAACACCTGGTGGAACTGCACAACACTGAGTCCAACGCTGAGAAGTAGCTCCCTCTAAAATTAAACCAAAAAAAGCAACTTTGCTCCGCCTACAATCCTTGATCTGGGTTTGGCTGAAGTGAACTCTAATCTAACATGGTTTTAATACATATGTGAATGCCAAGTGAACTGGAGACTGCTCCAAAAGCAAAAGCAAGGCATTCTGGGTAAATACAACCAAAACAAACGCGAGAGATTAGCGCTAACAGGAGAAATGACTTGTGGTGTTTTATTCAAGACAAAAGAGAAATCCTACAATCACTAAAATCTGAAGCTACTCCGTTTTTGTTTCTATGTCGTGAAGAAGGAAGTTGCGCTCAGTGTCTGGGAGGTTTTCGTGTTCTTTCCTTCAGTGGTTTTTGATGCAGCGCCGCCACAGGCGAGGAGGGGAACAGGGCTTTCTATTAGTTTGGATTGTTTGACACAGTGCAGTATGAACAGCAGCTGAAATGTAACAAAGGCTGCAATCTTTCTCCACCAATTAAACTGAGTCTATCAGGTGTGAAAACACCCTTAAGGTGAGGTTATGTGGAGATGCTTGAGCAGTCAATATTTTGCCCGCAGCACAACAGTTCAGTCATTTCCAGCAGACGATTTGTCTGAAAGCAGCCAATAAAAATCAACTCACCCCCTTCATGAAGATCCAGGTTCCCATCAGATGAGGTCAACAGAGAAAGTCAGAAACAGGAAATTTAGTCTCATCTGTTCAGATTCAGGAATCTGTTTAAATTTAGAAACTTGTTCCAACTTAGAAATCTGGTAAGAGTTGGAAAAACTGTGAAAGACAGTCAGAAAGCCTGGAGAACTACTGATCCAGATCACTTTGAATAGAGTCAGGAATCAGGAATGAGTTCAGAATCATAGAATCTGTTCAAGTTCAAAGCTGGAAATCTTTCCAAAATCAGAAATCTGCTCAGGATCTGAAAAATGCTAAACCAACAAACTGGGTGAAAAAAAGGTACAAGCAGAGGTGGGCAGAGTATCCAAAAATTATACTTCAACATATTTTTTCTCAAGTAAAGTAAAAAGTAGCCATCCAAGAAATTACTCAAGAGTAAAAAAGTATTTGGTAAAAAGTCTACAGAAATACGGAGTGACTGATTAAATTATCAATCATTTAATAGTTAACCAAAATATAAACCTAACTGGAAATTTTGACATTTTAAGGTCCAAAATTACAATAATTCATATAAGTAACAAAAAAATAACAAAATCAGACAAAGGAAAATTTTTACAAAACAGTTTTTTTAAAAATATAAAACTTACGAAACTTTAACAAAAATTGCAGGTGTGTGTCTGGTGGATTTTTGGTTAAATCATGTTTTTCATTCAGTGGGTAGAAAATCCAGAAATTTTACTAAAGTAAGAGAAGAGATACTTCATAATAAAATGACTGAAGTAAAGCAAAGTGCAGCGTAGTAAAAATACTCCTAAAAGTAAATTTAAAAAAAAGTTACTCAAGGAAATGTAACTAGTAACTACACAACCTGAGAACAAAGTAAAACTCTGAAAAGCTTCTAGAAATCCTGGAGAACTGTTCAGTAAAAAGACTTTAAAGCTTAGAGAACAGTCTGGATCCCAGGAGGAAGAAAAGACGAGCTGGATATGAATTGGTTTTGTTAACCACCTAAACGCTGAACCGTTTGAATAAAAACGTAAAAAGTTAAAATTCTTTCCTGGTTCTGGTTTTATTTAAGCTCTCTGGTGATGGAATAGCGTCCTGACCTCCTGATGAGATTCCTCCTTATCTCCTCCTCATCCTCACCTGCTGTCTGACTCTCAGCAGCGTCTTATCCACACTAATAGGATCGTCACTCTGCAGCGCCGCATTCTCCTCCATTCACTCCAATAAGCAGATTACCGACGTGTTTACGGCTCTTTGAACATTTCATTTCCTTTAAGCCAATTATTCTCTCAAAGCGCTCAGCTTTCCAGTTTCACTGCCTGGTTGCACGGTAACAGGAAGCTGATCCACTATAAGGGATATTCCACATGTTTACCGCAGTCAGTTGGTGAATTTCTACTTTAAGCTGCAGTATGTTACTCTTATTAAAAATATGTTTTTTACATATTTGTTGAAGCTGTCACTATATTGTGACAGTAGAAAGTGAGACACATAATCTGTGAAAAAAAAATCTAGCTCTTTCTCCACCATTAGTATATTTAGCAGCACATACACAGGGTTGACTGACAGCGCTAATACCCTCCTCCTGGCTGTTTTGGTTGTTTTTGGTCAGGAACGATGCATTTCTTCAGCTCAGGGAGGAAGTAGAAGAGATCTGTCTTTTCAGATTATCCGTCTCATTACATAGTGATAGTTTTAGCAAATATGTAAAAAAAATTTTTATAAAAGTTACATACTTCAGCTTTAAAACACCAGCTGTCATTATTTTAAAACAAACTGATTTTAGGGTTTATGTGTTACTCACAGTGACGAAGTCCTTATGGAAGCAGAGAGGAAACAAACATAATATGGGTTAAATTGGGGATGGAAAAAGACTTTTTCCACATTAAATACATTTTCAAAGATGAGCAGGGCTGTCCAAACTTTTTGTCACATGGGCCAAACTTGTTGAGTGAAAAGAAAAAATACTAAAATCAAGCAAATAATGTTGTTAGAGTTGTTAGAGTCGGGTTTTTGCTGTACAAAATGGATGTTATTCATTGTAGATCCAAAACTTTAGATGGATTTTGAAGAAAGTTACAGTATCTAGACCACATGTGTCAAACTCAAGGCCCG